AGAGAAAGAGGAAGAGCAGCGAGCCGTGACGTATATATCGGCACACCATCACCAATTGCTAATAACATTGCCACATCCCTATAATTCTCTATGTTGTTTCCAAATATTCTATTATTTTCGCCTCCAATGGTAACCTTTTGACTGAAAATCTGCTAAATACTAGCTAAAAAGACATAAAATCATATCTAGAGAATAATGTACTTGACATTTCTCATATAATCATTCTGAAAACATAGTTAAATAATAAAACAAATGTTTGAAGAGTATTAAAACAAGCAATCCTAACTCTTCAAGTCTGAAAATACGTACATCATGTTTATCATAATGGAATCATTATATTACAATAACTCAATTCTGACAATCTGTATGTGAGCTATTAGACGACATACATTCTAAAGGTTTCGTCGTCATAACTCAAAAAGAATTGTTACTTATACTAATTACCCAAATTGCATAGTAATTTCAACGAATATCTGTAAAAATCTCGAAAAATTTCTTCTATTTCTATTACCACTTACCTAATTTTATGTAAACATTCATAGCAATTAAGAATGTTTCTTTCATTTTTTGCTTATCTACTCTTGAGAGTGTGGTTTTGTGAGAAGACTATCCAAACCTATACTCACATCGCTTTTTCCGAGTTTTTTTTCTTTGGTAATCTTGTTTCTTTCGAGCCTTTTACATCATACCATTTCAACAAGACAATGGATAAAATGTTTTTTTTTAAATAAAGCATAAAGATAATAAGCTTAAATGTAATAGAGGAACTTTGTCTTTTGATTAGAACAGATTTTAGTTCGACCAGACTTATTATTCTAATCTAAGAAAAATATGAAATTTTGAAATTCAAATATTTTATGTTGTATCATATAATTCGCTTTATTTAGTAAAATAAAATCAGATAATAGCAATAATAACTCTTTTTCTTTCGTATTCAGATCTTTAGTCATAAATTCAATTGAAATGAAAGTTCATCTTTACAATCACAAAGGAAAAAAAAGACAAAAAAATAGCATATACAAACAGAAATGTAAGGATGTATCTAGACTAGAGATTATCTTAATCAATTATCTGAATCATTATCATTATCATCAAAAATAATTTCTTTCGTTTTTTTTGTTTTTAATTGATTGTTTTGTTTATTACTATTAATCGATATTGGTAAGATAAATGCATCAAGAATTTCTCCATCAACCATATCATAATCAATTGGTGTTGCATGTGGATGAAGTGTATCACCATCGAATTCAAATCGAATATTATTTGATTTAATATCACGTTTGTATGCATTAAATATTATTTCAAAACGATCTGTATCCATCATTGTATATTCACGTTTCGATACGGACGATGAACGACGACCTAAAGTTGGAAAAGATCATGTTTTTGTTTTTTTGTTTTTTTTTTGTAAATCGATTCTTTGTAGTGTATTACCTGAAGATGAAGAAGATGTTTGAATAAATATTTTAAGTTTACGTACTAATGGATAAGATTCAAGTAATTGAATATTTTCTGATGAAAAATTCAATTGCTTAAGTGTCATTGATTGATTATTATCATCTAATTTTAATGTTTGATTATTATATACAAGATATATTGATGGTAAAGATAAACGTTCAGCTACTTGATCATGGAGATTTTTTAATGTTATTGATAATGGTAATGATAATGTTAATTGACGTCCATCGGAATGATCAATTTTTAATGTTATTGTATCAAATGAAAGTGTTTTATCTGAATCAATTACATCTATACCATTTGATATGACTAAAATAAATAAATTTAAAAAAAAAAGATGTTTTTTTTTTAGTTAACCATCAGCTATGTACCGTTTGTATAGACTCAGCATTACTTTTCTTAGAGAGGGCAAGTTGAAGATTCATCAGTTGGTTAACATTTTTATTTTTTTTTTTTTTAACTAAAGACACTCATACCGCCCGTTCAAATGTTTTCTCATTTCTTATTATTAGTTTTCATTGAAAGAAAACCAATATCGAAATTAGAACATTAATCATAGTGTCTTTCTTTTAAGTGCTTAGAGAAAGACTCGAACCATGGTACTAACATTCAATATCGATGTAGACCATTCAACTAAATATGTTTATATACGAAAAGACATATTCTCACTTGTTTTTATCGGTTCATTTTCATCTTCTTCTTCGTCATCATCGATCGATTCAATTTGTTTTTCACATAAAGGTTTTGTAACACGTAATACAGCATCTAATCGATTATAAGCAGCAGTTTCACGTGTAACTTTTTCATCATCTTCTTCTAATTGACTTCTATTTAATAAATTCATTTTTTCTCTAATAAGAAATAAATTAAATATTGAAATGATTAATATTAATACTGTTATTTTTTTATAAATTATTTTACTTGCTAAGATATCTATTTCGATTTCGATGCGTAACATGTGTTAAATATTGATCTTCATCTTCATATTCTTGATCATCAGCTGATGTTCGTTTTCCTAATTTAATTTTTCGTTTAACTTCTTTATTTGTTGATGTAAAACATGATGTAACAATAGCATCAATTTCATTTTTAATTAAATCTTTGTTTTTTATTGTTTCAGTTTGAATAATAACTGGTTGAGTGGAAATATTAGCAGATGTTGATTTCGGTTTTTTTATTGAAATTAAATCATTTTCACTATCTGAATCTGAATTACTGGAACTTGATAATTGCTTAGAAGTGACTGGACTAAATAAATTAAATTTTTAAATTTTTTCCTATTTAATTAAAGAATTTTTAAAAAAAGCGAATTACGCTTGCAAATATTGTTTTAATTGTGTTCGTTTATTATTTAATGATTTTGCTGTTTGATAAGCAAAAAAATCATCTTCATCGTCTTCCATTAAGCTTTTTATTTATTTCTATTATCAAATATTGTTTAAAATTAAAAAAAAACAGAAAGAAAGAACATATTTACATACATACGATTGGTTCAATAACAATGATCATTACATAAACTTTAATTTATTCGTAGAAATTTTATTTTAAAATGAGAAAATGAAGAATTTAATTGTTTTTTAAAGATTTCATATAATTATCATGAAGTCTGATTTTCTTTTTCTTTTATGCGTTCCCACTATTGGTGAATGTAACTATGGTAACAATGTGATGAATGGCAGAGATATTCAAACAAAAAAAAAAAGAATTTATTTAAAAAAAAAGAATGTCTGTATCACCACCCGAAGCTCCACCATATCCAACAACACCAGAAGATGATCGTGAAAATGATGAAGCATCTATATCTGCTTATGCAGAAATATTGGTTTGTTTTATTAATTAAATTTAATAAAAAAAGAAGAAAGCTAATTGATTTTTATTTTCTCTATCATTTAGTCATTTCAATGGTGTTTTGGCTTTAATAAAGATTTACCAGTACTTAATGTATCAATAAATAATACAAAAAAAATCTTTTTTGTTGCTGCACAAGTTGGAGTTTTATATGATTTTGCTAATAATCGACAACAATTATTAATCGGACATGTAAAATTATTTAAAAAATAATGCGTCGAGAAAATCAATTTCTTTTTATTTCATTTTAGAGAAATAATATAACATGTTGTTGTATTAGTAATGATAAACGTTGGTTATGTACAGCTGATAGTGGTCGAGATTGTACAGTTATTGTTTGGGATACAATTACTGGGTTTGTTAAAAAATTCATTTTCTTGATTTTTATTCATTTTTTTTACCTGTATGTAGATTACCAAATCAAACTTATTTCGATGTCATTAATGGAACAGGAGCAGTAGCATTTAGTAGTGATGCAAAATATTTAGCGACATTAAGTCAACAAGCTCCTCAAGTAAAATTTAATTTAATAGGTTTTTTTTGTTGTTTTTATATGAAAATAATAATATATATTGAATAGATAATGTCAATATGGGATTGGACAGCTGAAAGTGATAGACCAATATGTGCATTAGAATTAAAACATGATTATTCAAATCAACATTATTTACAATTTAATCCACGTCAATCAACACAATTAGTATCAAATTCAACAACACAAGTTGTTTTTTATGAATGGTCACATGAAAATGGTTTAAATTATTATGATCCTGAATTAACTGAAAGAGTAACAAAAAAAAAAGTATTTATAGAAAACATAAATGTTCGATTTTTTGTTTTCTTGTTCAGACATTTAATATATCTCGTGAAAAACTTGGTTATTTAACTCAATCGGTTTTTCTTCTTCATCCAACACGAGTTGTAACAGGTACAACAACAGGAAAACTTGTTCTTTGGGATTGTAAAACAACTGGAAATATATTTGAAATGAATAAAAAACAATCGAATATAGTTCAACAAAATGATTTATTACAACAATCAACAAAAATAACAGAAGATAGAGAATTAACACGTGACACATTAAAATCATCAACATCAACACGTAGTGGAACTTTATCATCAAGAAAATCTTCATCTAAAACAAATGAACAAATCGATCAAGATGAGGAGGAAAAAAAATACAAACAAGTACAATTTCAGGAACCACAACAACAAACGAATGGTAAGATTCTTCTTTCTTTCTTTTGTATAACTACATTACTGATCAGTCGACTATCTAAAATTCTCATCGATTTCATTTTGAGAAAGATTATGTTTTAAAGTGAAAATAGTCCTTTTTATTTTTTGTTATATATCAAAAAATAGTCTATTTTTTCTAAATTCTAATCTCTTAACTCTAGTTCAAACTAGTGAAGGACGATCAGAATTTTCCTTGATGAATAAACGAGCATTAAAATTATGTGAACCACAACGAAAAGCGATTACTGTTTTAGTAACAACTAATGAGTAAGTAACATTATTATTCAGCAAAACAGAAAAAAAAACATTTTTTTTTCTTAGTCTTGTGGTAACAGGTGATAGTGATGGTATAATTCGTTTTTTTGATCAAGAACTTAAATTATGTATGTGGTTTGAACATTTTCGTATTGGACCAATTGAATCAATATCATTTACGTATACAACATCAGATTATTCTCCTCCACATATATCAAATCCAACACAAAAACATAATGAATCAACATTAGTACAACCTCTATTTTCATCATTTGATTTTACATTATCATCATCTCATGCTGTTATTGCTCATGTAACTCATTCTGGTCAACAAATATCAATTATAAAACGTGATTCTTCAACAGCTATTTATGCATTAGATACTCATCCATTTGAACATAAATTATGTTATGCAAATGCATCTGGTCGTTTACAATTATGGGATTATCAACAAAAAACAATTGTAACAAGTGCTCAACATGCACATGATAATGCTATTACACAATTACGTTATAATCATAATGCTAATTTAATTGCTGTTGGTTATTCGAATGGACAATTAACATTATGTGATGCTTTATCATTAGAAAGTATTCTTAAAGCACCATTTCAATATGCTAAAGCAGCTATTCTTTTCATTGAATTTTCACAAACATCAACTTATTTAGCAACAGCGGTAAGAATCGATTTTCTTTGTTTTTTTTTTGAATTCTCAAATATATTTTAAAATACAAAACTTGAAAAATATAGGCCATAGATATTAAACCCAAATGCTTGTATCAATATAATTAATATGAATATACTTAAATATAATAATGATTACATTGACGATTGCTTCTTTAAAAAAAGTTTTTTTTTTGGCATTAAGCAATTGAGTTTGAATTTATGCTTTTAGGTTCAAAAAATTCTCCTCGGTTGATTCCATAGTTTATCTATATTCATGACTAGAAATTTTCAGCGAACAATTCCTTATTCGCCCAATACACAATTATTCAGTCACAGTTTAATTTAATTTATTGTCAAATAAACATAATTATGAAACCTATATCTTGTTATCAAAGGTATCTCCTTAACGGAGTTTCTGAAGAACGGCTCATCAAAAATGGAAAATAGATCTCGATGAGTAGAGCAAAAGTTGTTATAGATTTCAAATCTCCAAACGCTTTCTTCTAAGAAATATCTAGATCGCAAAGGCTAAAAATCATCTCCATTTTCTCAGCCTCAATAAGTTTGATAGAATGGAATTCTTTTTACGGATATTAGACATCGTTTCAAGTACATAATTTCTTTTTATCTTCTGACATTCGAATAAAAAGATGAAGATACCGAGCGTATCTCCAAAAATACATGTTTTTTTCTACTATAGCTCTTTTGTGAAATTTACAGTGTAATATTTTTCAAAACAAAAAAAAAGTAAGGCATCCCAAACAGTGTTCAATATCCGTAAAAAAAAATTTTAGCCCAATCGAACGTACTATCTCGGAGAAATGGGGAACGATGTTGCAGTTCTTTTTTGTGTAAAAATTGATTTCGAGAAAAATGAAAAACAAATTTTCCGTATGTATCAGGACTTTTTTTCTCTAACTGAAATGATCGAAAACTGGTCGGGTCAGCGATGTTAAAAGTCTATGACCCATATTCTCAGCACCTTTAGCTTGAGAAATAATTATTACCATTAGAAGAGTTTTGCACATAACGAATAATCGCAGTGCGAACTTTTTTTCTACGGATTTCGAAAGTTGAGTTTAATAAAAGTACTAATTAATAACGAATATCCGCCATTTATATAATATTTAACGATGGACAGTTCGAAGCTATAACAAAAATCGAAAAAAAATGGATTTTAACTTCCGAAAAGCAGGAGATCCTCTTAAATGCCAATTGTTTTTTTTTGTCCAAACGAATAATAATGTTTTGGACTGAAAAATTCCTATATAAGTTAACTAACCGAGCATTATGATCTAATCTGATACAATCATAATAAATATTTATTTTTCTAGGAAGATGATTATACAGTATCTGTTTATCGACAAAATTTAGATAGTGAAGATATATATACATTTCTTGGTCGTTATCGTGCACATTATAAACCAATTCGAGCATTATTTTTTGGTTTAACACCTGATGATGATCAACCAATATTAATTACAATTGGTAAAAATGAAAAACAAATTAATTTTAATTTTAATATTTAAAATTAAAAATTTTGTTTTTTGTCATTTCTCAGGTGCTGATCGTATTTTAGCTGAATATGATTTAAATGGAAGTGAAATTGATCATCTTGTTTTAAATCCATCAACACGTATTGAACAAATAGCTGAATCAATGTCAGCTTGTTATTATCCATCATCATTAACAAAAGAATCATTTATTGTTACAATTAATAATGAATATAAATATAAATTATATAATTCTGGTACAAAAATGTGTCGAAAAACAATTTTAGGTCCAACATTTGGTTCACCATTACGTAAAATAGGAATATTACCAAAATTAGATGAAAATTCTACTGAAGAATATATTTATTTTATGACAACAGATAAAATAGGTCTTCAACGTTTACCATTAACTGGTAATCCATTTGATCAAATGGCTATAATAGCACATCCAAATCGTGTAAGTGATGTACGTTCTAGTTATGATGGACAATATTTATTTACAAGTGGTGGACTTGATAATGTTGTACACATGTTATATGTTAATCCAGAAGTTTTACAAGCACAAGCACAATTAGGTGGAAAAGATTTAATACCATTTTATAAATTATTAGAAGGTGGAAGAGATGGAGAAATTTTTCGAGAAATGCAAGAATTATTTTATTATAGTCAATTACGACAGTAAGTTATTGAAATTTTTGTATAAATGAAAGTCCTCATCGGTTATAAAAATTTCTAAAGAATCGATATTTCTATTTATAAAAAGAATTCTTTTTAATGAAATTCATTTTCTAGAAAACGGAATCAGTTCGAATAGATGAAATCGAACAGTCTAAATTTCGTACAATTTCCGTCTTTAGATACAGTCAATTGGTGTGATCAACATCCAGAAAAAGTTCTCCAAACATAAATTAATCTAATGAAAGCAAGAAAGTAAATAAATTAGATGGGCCGGTAGGGGTACAGAATCTACCTGTGTGCAGGAACGCGTATTTGGAAAATGTCAAGATCAGAAAACATCTGCCGTTTAGAAAATAATCCAGACAGAACAGAGGGTCATAGTATTTCTGTTATTGATTTGTATTAAAACTGGAAGCTTTCAAAGTTTTTAGTAATATTTTACATGGTTGACCAAAGTTACGCAAAGATTTCATCTCTTTAAAAATAAAACATGTTGTTTAAATAAATTAATTCTCAAAGATAATATTCATATTAGAAGACACCTTCGAGAAGGATGATGTAAAAAACTCCAATACAAAGCAATAGTCATCTATTGTGGAAGAAACTCTAATCGATTTCGATGATTAAAAATTTGTTGTAGCTATTGTATGTTCATAAAATCACTTTATTAGGTTCTCTTTGCATAATAATTGTTTGCAATCACAATGATTTTGGTTTCTTTTATATCGTGATTGTTTTTGATACCATACTAATAGCTCGCTTTTGATATTCTGTTTTTATGAATATGTACCATTAAACAAACTCTTTTCTCTTTTTTTGTTTAGGCAGGAAAATTTTTCGAAAAGCGTCGGTCTGAATTTTAGACCGATACTAGACTGACCAGTTGTCGTACTATTCTATCTGTGAATAGTGGTATTTGATAAGATCAACTTTCAACAAAGTTTTATGACACATTCTCTCTGAAATAGTAAGAACAAAAAGAAAAAAATAAGGCATGCCGGTCATCGGTACTACTCCCATCTTTGCAATATTCTTGTCGTTCAATAGATCATCACAATTTAAGCTAGTATGACCATATTTATATTTCACCTGACGATGTATGAAGGAGAATCTCTGATTATAATAACTATAAGACTTATATCATCAAATCGAAACATGATTTTCAATGTCATTTAGCTCCATCAATGTTAGCCGATTATAACATGTATAAGTTAGATCGATATTCATTTACCTTGAATGTATGAAATACAAGAGATCTGACAGTCATCAAATTCTCATTGTTTGTTTTATTCACTCAAAAAATGTAATATATTTTGATTGTGTTATAATTTCTATTTTCCTCATATTATAATAATCTATAATTCTGATTCCATATATCATCATCATATGAGAATAAATTATGAATTTTGAAATGAAATGTTAATTAAAAATATTTTCTAATTTTTTTAGTCAAGATATAAATCGGTTTGATCGTCGAGAAGTAACAGCAAAAATTCCATTAAATGAAATTCCATTTGTTATGAGAGCATTAGGTTATTATCCAACTGAACAAGAAGTAAGTGTTAATGAAGTTTTCCTTTCTTTGTTTTATTGAAAACTAAAAATATTTTATATTAGATTGAAGATATGCTCAATGAAGTTAAATTTAGTACTTATGTTGATACAAAAAATTATGTGGAAAATATTGATCTGAATGATTTTATTAAATGTAAAAAAAAAGAAGAAGGATTTCTTATGTTTTGAATATTCTAATAAGTATGTTTTTTTTTTCTAAGTATATATAAATCATCGACCAGCATTTGGTCTTAATCCATCTGATCTTTATCATGCGTTTAATGTTTTATGTAATCAATATGATTCTGAAGATGGTCAACCACAAATGAATCGTGAAAATCTTTTATATCTTTTACAACAATATGGTGAACATATGAATGATTATGAAATGGCTGATTGTTTATCAAATTTACTTCATTTAAATAATGAATCAACAGAAATGTTTGATACAATGAATGCTGAAGATGCTTGTATGTTAATTTAATTCATTTTTCTTTTTTATTTGTTTGTTCAAGAAAATATTTTCTTCTTTTTTCAATTAGGTCAATTTATTGAAAATCAATTACCAGAACAAGTAACAATACAAACATTTATGGAAGATTTATTAAAAATGCCAACACAATATGTTGATCAAGTTATGTATTCTGTTAAAGCACATCAAAAACGTCGATCATCAATGACACCAAAAGAAAAAAAGAGGCAACTTTCAATTGAACAACTAGAACAACAACACTACCAACAACAACAGCAACAACAACAACAACAACAACGTGCTCGTTCAGCTATGACATCAACTACACAAAGTACAACACCAGCTTCGAATGATTCTTAAATACTTCCGAATGTTTTTTTTGAATATTTTATAGAAAATAAAATAATGAAATGAGTATTTTGAATTTTTAGCTTTGTTTTTTTGTGCTTATAAGATTAAATTGTTGAGTCAAAAAAAAAAAATCTTTGTTTTCTTCATTTGAAAGAATATCATCAAATTATATATTCATTCCCATGTCATCAAAATCGGCGATTTGAACGTAATTTATTAGGCCAATTAATCGTAAAATTATGTCGTGGTTACTCAAATAAAATGTTCAATGATTCGACTTGGTCGTAGTGTTTCAATCTACGACTATAACTACGTTTCGACATGTATGTGACCATAAGTAATATAGGATGATTGACCCAGTCTGATGATTTTGTTTATTTTTATCCTGATGAAAACAATTGACATTTTGCTCATTTTTGATTCTCTCCTGCCATGATATTCTATCTCGAACATGCACAATGTTGGGCCAGTACCAATAGCATAATCATAAATTGGCTCTTATCTCTAATAACTAATCTCCTTTGTTATTTTGTATCAATAATAAAAGTGATCTTGACATTCGACACTCGTTGTTTTTAACAAAATTTATAATTTAGGTTTTTGAAACTCGAAATGAAAATCTGTGCCCTATTATTTCACATTCAAAGTGGAGATCAACTAGTTGATAATATTAGGTAGTTACACGGTCTAAAGAACAGTACCTACAGTTTTCTAGTTGATTCTTACGTGTAGAATTTTTTTCAATAAAACAACACGTGATTGATTAAATTACGGACAACATTTTTATATCACTGTAAAGGCGAAAACACAATGGATAACAAAATTTGAGTTTTTCCTACATTGTTTTGAGCAAATCTATTTTTTTGTATAAAAATTGTTCGATTAGTTTGAAGATTGTAGTGCAACGTCAGATAGTTTAATACTCTAACCTCTATATTACGTGGTGTAGGGAAAAATTAAGTTCAATCTACAAAGATTTTCTTGTTGTAAACTGCTCACTATTTGAGGAGGAAGGAGCAAAAAATTGAACTATTTAAAATTTAATTGCTTAACTTAAAAAAATTGTGGTTGCGTCATCGATGGTAACAGTCATACCTAAAAGAATGTTCATGCAAAAAATAAAAGTTTCTTTTTCAAGAAAATGTCATTGGAAACGGGACAATTCTATAAATACAGATTAATACATTGAAATGTGATTTGTCTTTTAAATTCTTTATCGAGATGAAAAGAGGTTGTTCAGTGGAAAAAAAAAAGAAAAGAAACTATTTATCCTATTCAAATTTTCATTATTATGATTATCTGAATTATTTTCTAGTCGAAATTTAACTTTGTCAAAATCAGAACTTGAATTTCACTTGTGATTGATGAGTGTTTAGTCAATATTTGAATTCCAATTTTTTTCTGGGTAAACTTTAAAATTTGTCTGAATTTAAATATTACCTACAACATATATAAGATTGATTCTTTAAAATCATCTATTCACTTTTTTTTTCTAATTTCAAATTCTTTAATTTTATCTAAGTTTGAATATTGTCTGAAACATATATGTATGGATTTAGTGAGGTTACCAGGAGACTATCTCATACTTTTTCTACTTTTCTTCAGATAATAAAAATGTCAACGGGATCTCACAGAAAAACAAAATGAGATAATAAGCATGTGAGATGTAATAATACATGGACAAAAAGTTCGCGACAATTTTTCCTATTGATATATTTTTGCAACTACTTGAACAATTTTAATAAATAAATTGCTCTTTGTAAACTGTAGAGCTTTTCACGCTGTATCTTATGACATACTTTGGTTTTTTCTAATACAACATATTACAATGGTTTGCAAAAAAACTTGGAACGAACGGACAGTATAAATATTTTATATTTTCTAGATTCCCTTGAGCATTTATTTTACTGTTATTGTAGGTTTAGACTTACTAGACTATCTGCTAATAATATTTGTATATTTGATTAATTTCTATTTTGTCGCTCTTTATTTATAACCTGACATGGTAAAGGTAAACAGACTAAAAACACATTATATTTCTGTATTATATTATTGGAACATGGGAATTCGTTCTGTCAGAAAAATCCACTGAGATACAAAGATACCATTGTCTACAATTAGTTATCAGTTGAAAAAGCTCCGAACTCAAGATTCTCTAAAACATCGAGCAAGTAAATGGTTGAAAATCGACAAAAATTTCATGTTTGAGATTCTACCAGTTATCATGGAACAGTTGATTTTCATTCATTTCAAAATATTAGAGCAGTGATTATTACATCAAAATATAAGGAAACAACTTGATTTCCAATGCTAAACGACAATTTAATAATAAATGTCGAGTTCAACAAGATAACGACCGCAAGCATCGATCTTCAACAACTAAAAGATGGTTGGTTGCTAATGTTCCACTTATTATAGACTGGCTATTGAATAGTCCGAATCTCAATTCGCTTGAAAATATGCGGACCATTATGAAACATCGGATTGAAAAAAGAAAAGCAACAAATGTTAATGAGGTGAAAATTTTTATCGATGAAGAATGGAAAAAAAATTGAAAAAACTGTTATAATCAATTTGATTAACAGCATGAAAAATAGATGTTCCTTAGTTACTGAGTAAAAGGGAAGATGAGTTAACTATTGAGCTGCATATTGTAAAACTGTATATTACTATGTATTAAATAAAGAAATATTTTTTTTGAAAGTAGTTGAAATAGGAGTCAATATAGACTAAAAATTTGTTCCAAGTTTTTTTGCAAACTATTGTAATTGATGAAAAATTGAAATGCAAAATGCGACCGTTTAATCTATCCCATCCGTTAGTTTTGAAGAACCAAAAATGCATGTAACAAACTTCCTTTATTGACTCTTCTTACTTCTTGAACTAGAACCTTTATTTTTACATAATAAGTACACATTGAAATGCTCTTTAAAATGACTATTTATTTGTTGCAATTATTTAAATGACTACAAAAATATATCGATTACAAAAGTTCTCAGAACTTTTTCTTCCGTACCTTATTTTACCTTCGACAAGTCATCTTTCTCAGAAATTAAAGAAGATTTAGTAAGAACATTGTCAATCTCACTTTTATGCAGTTTGATATTTTTAGAAGATTTTTTTTTGATCAGTCGCATCCTTTTTTCTTAGAATCAGTTCATTTTATTCATTTTTTTTTATAGAATTCGATGAATTTCTTAAAATAGTCTTGAACTTCTCCTAATTCTTTAGCTCCGATGATCAATAACAAGGATCTAAGGTGTGGTTGTGAGCGTGAGCGCGGTTTTAGAAAGCAATAGAAGAACCACATCTGCACTCCATCCACACGGATCCCAAATTCGACATTCACCCGCACCTAGAATATGTTCTTAAAGATATATTTCCATATTGGTGATATAAGTATGTAAACAATACGATTGATGATCTGACAAAAATGAATAAAGCGTAATTCCATTAGCGCTGATACTTAAATCGTCACAATGTATACTACCATCGTTAACCATCGTGTTAATACATGTTTCCGATGAATGAAGAGAGAGATGATTTCTTCCTCCTCATCCACAGCAAAATACTACAAAGTTTTTATTTAAAATAAAATAATGCTTATTGTCCATTGAGATGATCAGTTGATTTAAATGGAAGAAAAAAAAATATTTATTTTTATATAATTTAATGTTGAAGTTTGTTGAAAAATCGTCGATTAATCGTTAAAAATGGCGCTTTTTTTTTGATGACATGGGTTATTAGTTAAATCTATTAGTTATTGAAGTCAATACTTTCGATAATTAATTTATTATTAACAAATATTAAAAATGACAAGCATGATTGACATTGATAACAAGACTTAATGTAATTTGTCACATAACCAATTACGAATAAAATCAATTTTTATAAAATATTTTATTTTACAGTTTTTCATTTAATCCTGACAGAAATAATTAATTGTTAAAGATAGTTTAGATTATAAAGTATATATCACATCAGTATATATACCTATGTTTTTTCATATTTATATCTCGATTATTCTGTACATAATATCAACGATTTCTATAAAATTCATTATTCATATCTATATTTGATACACAATGTCATGAAACAAAATTTCAAAAAAGAATTCAATATCTTTGAATCATAATATTCAATTAATAGAAGCTGTTATTATCATAGAAAAATATGAACAATCTTTATTTGATGTTTCTGTTGAAGCTACATTATCTATTAAAAGCTCACATAACCAAATTATATATATATATATATATATACTGATGATAGACTATGTATAGTCTGCGACCTCTATAGTAATTTATTTATGAAATACTAATCAATATTATCAATTGATTATCTATCATCAACTGTACTCCTAAATATCTGATATAAAATAAACTATTGTTGTTGTATTTGTTTTAATTAGTTTTATTCTTGAATCTGTGTTCATTATTGTTCGATGAATGCATTTGATAATCAAAAAGTAAATAAAAAACTATCGAATAAGAAATTTTATTTTTAAAGTCTTTCGTTAATAACTATTAATATCTCTACTCAAAATAACGCATGAAGTTATATTTAATTGTATATAAAGTAGGATATCTATTAAAAGAAAAGATAATAAAATAAAATTTTTTATTCAGTAATATTTTCTTTACTTCTTTTTATTATTATCTCGATTGTTTAAAAATAGAAAAGATGAAACTCACAAAAATTTAATTTTTTTTTTGTTAAGGTATCTGTAAACAAAGGAAGCTTTATATTAAAGATTAGAAAATAGATTGTGTCGATTCGTTCTTGTTATTTTTATATTCTATTTAAATGAATAATTTCTGACATTTCATTCTAGAAATCATTGTGATACAAAATGATAAACTCTTGATGTTTGTACATCTAAAAAGAAAAATTCTTAACGAATCACTGTATAGATACTTCGTACTGCGGTAGAATATACGAAGATAACATGGACATACATATATATATATATACATTCCTTAGACTTCTTCGAAGAAATCAAATAAGAAAAAAAAAAGCCGAGTCGATTTACTATTCTGGTGAAAAACAATTCATATTTGAATAAACTAGACCGATTAAATTGAAATATAATAACATGATAGTATCGTACTAGAAAAAGAAAAGTATTAAAATTCAACGACTCTATGTAATTTGATATATGTCACAAAGAACCACATGTCTGAATAGAACTAACTATGTAGAAATAATAGGCAAGCTGGCACAAAAAGTGATTTGTACTCATACAACTTGAAATGTTTGGATTGAATATGACCTATGAATTTTTTGCTCTACGACTAATGTATATAACGACAAAATGACAAAGGTGATTCGTAATAAAGGAGTGATTGTATTTATTTTAACCGTACTTATGATCATAAAACAATAAGTCATGACATTATTCGAACCTAAAAAAAAATACAAACCTTTGGTTTATTTGTTCTTGTAAGTAATCAAGTCAATCTGGATGATTACTATCCATTAAATTGAGATGTTAATAGGATTCTTTCTATTTTTGATTTGATTGCATTTTATTTTTAAAAAAGAACTTGACTAAAGATTATGGTCATTTTTTTTTATGTCTTCACTATGCCTTGATCGTATATTTTTATAGGAACAGTATAAATATTGAATAGTAATTCATTTTAAAATGAGGAAATATCGTCTTTCATTTAAGACAAATAATATCATTAAATAATTGAGTTTTTTTTTCGAAAAATAATTTTCTGTTTATAGCAAGGTCAAATTACACTTTGAGTGCGGTACTGTTCATGTAAAATATCATTTTTACGTTTGCAAGTAAAAAAGAACGCGCAACAGTCAGTGTCACCATTGTTTATTTTTATTTTTCTTCTCGTATGACAAGCAAATATTTTTTCGTTTTCCATTGAAAAGAGTCAAAAGAAAAAAATCGAATATATTTCTGTATTCTTTGCTTTTCTTTTCTTTTCTCTTCACATCATATATTGATAGTTTTCCTCCCCTATAGTATACATTTTTACTATTGAAATTATGCCTCAACCATGCGTTATTGATGGATGTAAATATACGTCACGTGTTTTATGTCATTGTTGTAATAAAAATCTTTGTCTTGAACATTTAAAATGGCATGATGAATCGATTGATTCTGAAATAAATCCATTAGTTGATGATATCAATACACTTACTGATCAATTAATAAAGTTAAATATTGAAGAATTAACAGATAATTCTCGTGAAAAACTTAATCAATGGCGTGATGATTGTCATATGATGATTAATAAATATTATGAAAAAAAATGTCAAGAATTAAATCAACATTATATTCAACGAATTGATTCATTACAGATAGAAATTGATCAGATACGATCAAAAATGATGAAATTCATATGTGAACAAAATATTACAATAGATGACCTTGAAACATTAAAATTAAATATAAGTGATGTTAAACGAAAACTTATTCAAATAAAAATAAAACCAATGGAAATTGATTTTCATCCATTAATAATAAATGAAAATTTAATTTCTATTGAAGAACCTAAATTATATGAATTAGATTTATTAAAACTTTCAAAAGCATATAGAAAATTTGAATGTACTGATGAAAGTTGGCCAGCAATGGCTAATAATGATCGAGTTTTATTAATAGATCAATATCCAAATATTTCTTTACTTGATCGAGATTTAAAAACCATTAAACAATCATCTTGGTCATATGGTTTTATTCGTAGTATGTGTTGGTCATCAATATTATCAAGTTTTATTGTTATTAATAATGAAAAAGAAATTTTTCTTATTAAAGATAATTCTTTATCAATTGAACGTATTTCAATGACTGAAGAACATTATTGGTGGTCTTGTACGTGTTCGGATACATCAATATTTCTAACAAATGCAATAATGGGTACAAATATTTTTGAATTTAATCTTTTATCATCATTTCAATTAGTTAAACGATGGAAACCTCCTTTATCATGTAAAAAAAATGAATATATTGATGATATTACTTATAATAATGGAACATTAGCATTAATAATTAAAGTTTCATCAAATAATATTGTTCTTTTAGAACTTCGATCATCAACAACACTTGATCGTATTTGGTCACTTCAACTTGGTATTAAAAGAAATTGGTTTCAACAAACTATTCGTTGTTGTTCAATTAAATATGATGAATGGCTTGTTATTGAAGGAAATACTTCACATATTTTTCATATTCTTAATAATGGAACAATAAAAGCTATGGGAAAATATAAACCATCACCTGTAAATGCTGTTCTTTTCGGTTCAAATATATTAGCTATAAGAACTAAAATGAATTTATTTTTTTATAGATTATAACTTCTAAAAACAACTATGTTGTTTTTTTCTTATTTTTCTATAGATTATTTACTTATTTATTTTATTTTGTATATTACAGAAGGTTTTTTTTTATTATTTGAAATTGAAAAATATATATCAAACCTATGGCATAAAATATGTTGTTTTGTTTTAACAATGATTAATATCAAAAATGAAGTCTATAAAAGATAAACTAGAACGTCTTTTTATATATTAGTTTGTAATAATCTAATACAAAAAAAAAAATGTTCGATCCATTTTCTTTTTAGGCATATACCAATTCCAGTCGGACTGTTGCTCAATTAAAATAGTGTCCTATTAGATAGATATTATTGAGATTGATGCGCAGTCGATTTGGCATCCGGATGAACTGGGATTGGTGCATGTTTATTTCTTTTATTTATTTCGTTGCAAAGATTCGTAACTTTTTTTGTTCAAAGTGAGCTGCTTTCGAATGATCGATTTATTGGAATGAGTGTTAGAAGTCATTTGTAGGAAAAAACTTCTTATTCTATTCTTTTAAGAAAACAAATCTATTGTTTTGTTTTTTAAAAAAATTTTCATTATATAAACTTGTCTTTTCTTTCACAGAACATACAAAAAAAAAACAATTTTCCCAATAATCAGTAGCAATTTAGAAACATAAGAATGTATTAATATATCGTTTTATATGCTCTAGATAATGAGTAGATAAAGAATAGCATCATCTAAATAAAAATATGTGATATATATTTATTAGAAACAGGAAGGCGTTTCGTTAGATAAATGAAGTATACACCCATCATCAATAGTCACTTGTCAATTGTAAATTCTAAAAATACCCAAATCAACTCTAAGTCCTTCATCAAAAGTCTATTTTTGTCTGAGTGTCCTAGATTTCTCCTCCAAATCCAATGATATAGATCTTGGATTGGCCTCAAAATGTAGCTAATACTTGCCGATACAACTTAGCATAACCCAATTTTTCCAATTCTTCTTTATCAAATTTTTATTCTTGTCAGTTAGATGAACGCAGTCTGATAATGATGTTGATACTTTTCGCCTATCGATTATTCAATGGTCTCTATCATTAATTTGTTTATTAATAAGATTGTTGTTATTTTTTATGTAATGGTGAGCTTGAGATATGATATCATGTACACATTCTTTATCTTGTGATGAAAAAAAATATAATTAACAACCAATAAACAATTAAAGGTATTGCATATTCTAAACTGATTCTTCTTTAAAAAAAATGTTTTTTTCATAATTAAATATCAACAAGAATTAAATACTTTAGAACTATTTATTGCTTCAAAATTTGATTTTTTTAGTCTTGTTTCACAAGATTTATTTATTGATATATTAATAAACATTGTCAAGATAATTTAATATTCAACAGATGATCGTACAACCTTCAGTTAAAGTCATGTTGCATTATAATTGATCAAGCCAGTAATTGACAATATCGACTATTGTTGCAAGAGATAAACAAGAAATGGGACTTGAAAATTATACGAATAGTTTCTATCACATATGGAATCAACTATTTATTAGTACACGAGTTATAAACACTATGAGTTCATTAAAGATAAACAAAATAGTTAACATTCAATCAAAGAACTCGTGAAAAAACGTGATTCTATGTTAGTGTTTCTCTAAATTAAATAAGATAATAAAAATACAGTGAACATTGAGAATTTCTATGGTTTATTTCATTCATCTTGATTGTTTGCATTTGTTTTTAAATATACAAATAAAATTCGGTCTTGTATACGAATAATAAACGAAATTCTACTTTTTCTTCTTTTCCGGATAATATGCTCTTCATTAGCAATCTCTATTATAGATAAACTTTTCAAATTTGCATGACTTTTCCAGTTTGTGATACGACTATGATAATCTTTAAATCACCCCTGGTAACAATAGAAATACTATATGATGAACAACTGTTATATTTAACAAGGAGAAAGGATTTACAATTTTTAGTAAAAAAGTTTCTGAGAATTGTTGAAAGTTAATATCATTATCGTTGTCCAACTATTAGTTCAGATGAAAGTTAAAGATGTTTAACAACTTTTTTTATATCATTGATTCGATGTCACTAAAAATAAGAAAATCAATTAGAGAGTAATAATAGATTTCATTGTAAACATACGAAGTTGAACTGTGACCAAGCCAACAGCTTTATGAGCGATGGTTACAAAAAGTTGTTGGTCATTGGTTTCTGTATAAGCCAGTTGAGTTAAGGGTTCAAATGTAGCAATCTGCGACACATAACCAAGGTCAAAACGTCCTAAAAGCTGATGACGATTGTAATCAACGAGCAGTAGAACAGCTTTACGAGTTGCTGTGATCACGACTATGATTAAGCGATGATTTTGAATGATAGTCATTCGAGAGAGTTGTCCAATAATCTCTTCTTGACAGATAACTGTCAAAGAAGTGTAAGATATGATTCGAGTGGAAACATTCAACGCAGTAATATTATACGAATGCTTATCGACGACGAGAAGTGTTGAGTCTGCCTCAAAATAAGCCATATCATTGATACAAAGACCTGGAAAGCTAACGACGTATTCAATACTTGCTGAGTCACCTTTATCAGCAATGATTAGAATTCCTGTGGTATTAACAACAAACAGCCATTTTTGATTCATTGATAGCAATGGTCCTTCCATTCCATTACACGAATTTGGTAGCATACCATATTCGTATATCCAGGCAATACGTATTCGATCCACTATACTACCAGTTGTCTCAGTAGCAATAATTGCTCGAGAATAAGTAATATTGTGCTGAGAAATCAAATACCATCTGGCATCATGTCTGTTAAGACTCATAGATCGAGATAGACGAAAAAAGTTAGGAGGCAACGATTGAACACCAAGTGGAAGACCAGTATCTTCTATACCTACAAACTAAGAGCAAAATTTAATCAGTAAAAATCATCTTTGGATATCAAACATCGTTTTCTACATCATCAATTCATACTTCTAAACCATCTGCGAACTTGTTCTCGTGCACGAGCAATCAAGGAAATGAGGTTACAATTATTTTTGACTGATAAGTTTTTGGATAGAAAACGGATATTTTTAAAGGTCTAAAATGATTTCTTCTTTAGACACGAATAAATCCTTTGCAATCAGCAATGAAAAAATAAATCTTATCAAAATAAACTGATTCATATCGGACTCGGCTTAGCTATGGATGATCATTTTGACTATGCAGTGCTCTGTCGAGCTATCATCTTAGATTTGTGTTAAAATGAAATGAGTACAATTTATTTAAAAATTCAGAAGAGTAGTCTGAAAAAAAGTAGATTTTTAATCTAAATACCTCGACTTGATAAAGATTGAAAATTTAATAAATACATGTTCTACGTTCTATAATATTTCAGGATAATACATAATATGATTACAACTTACAGAAACTAAATCGGCGACAATAATTTGACCATCATCTGTCACGAATGGACCTGCTAGTGGAGGAATCAATATTGGTTCATAATTGAATATGCCTCTTGCAACACCCTGAGGATCAATTAATGCACATTGTGTGTTGTTGGCAATGATCGAGAATCCTTTATAATTAACTATAGGTAATGATGCTGTTTCTGTTTTTCCTCGGATTTCAAGAGGAATGATCCAGAGTAGTTGACCGTTCGTTATATTTATTGATACATATCCGACATCAACAGCACATATAAGCGAAGATAATCCATTCGATACACAACCACGTGATGAAATTGTTAGCAAGTCAGTACGCCGCCATTTTACATCTTCATCAAATCCATCAACAGCTACGTCAACAAAGCCACTTAGTGTGCTTTCGCAGCCATCCATAGGACATCCTGTAAAATAACCATTGCTAGTGGAAATTATTAGAATAATAAGAATTAAGAGTTTCATATTTTCTTAGTTAACTAGTCAGCTTAACCAATTTAAATTTCAAATGATACAATTGTTGAATCAGTAATGACGATGTATTAACAATATATATATATCAAGAAAAAAAAGATAATAAAATAAAAGAGTACGAAAAAAGACAAGCAAAGAGTCATGTAGACGAGAACACAAAAGCAAATGTAAATACACTCATAGTCAAGCACTTTTATTGTGATAAGGGACCTGACACAGTTACATAAGTTCAAAAGTAGAACATGATGATAATGCAATGATTATTGTAAAAATAAATGGACAAAACGTAAAACAATGTTGTAACGGTATAGACTTGTAGAGGTTATTTTAATAAACAAGTGTTTGAAACTAACCACGGAATTGTCCCTAATAAAAATGTGTTGAATTCATTAGTCAGGGATTAAACCACTTGAACATACTTGAGGATTTTAACTTGATCGAGGATTGGATAATATAATGGAATTTTTGTTGTCAGTGATATTAACAATAGATTACGAGTTAATATCAGTACAATGAAATAAATTCGAATTACAATTAAATCATTACGATATTTATTTATATCTTCATCAATATCATTATTTGATTGAAAAATATTCAAATTTTGTAGACACAATGTTAGTTATGTATCTATTAATAACTTAACAACATCATAAAAAGAAAACTTTTGTTCTCTTCTTTCTTTTTGTTTTAGATGTAAAAGCGGTGAACTATAGGAACTTTTTCTAAAGTATAGGTTTTATTTGTATTATCAGAAAATAATTAAATATTCTTGATCGTAAATAATGAAAAGAACTTTAAAAAAACTAGGGAGGTAGAAAAAGTAAATTGCTTTCAAACAGTATAATAATGGATGGATCGAAAGTTTTGAGACAAAATGTTTCTGATAAGTCGAAAGTTATAGGTTAGAACCAGAAATTTGAGTTCTTTTCGACTGTTGGCTTTGAAAAGTTGTCTCAATTTTCGTTCGAGACTAATGAGGTAATCTTTGAAAGCTCCCGAAAAATAGCTCGAATAGAAAACTTTTCCACAAACTTTTATAGTTTCACTATTATGACTCAAAAGTAAAAGTTCGAACATTTATTAATAAATCAACTTGTGGAGCAGAAGCTACATTAAAAAAATGTACTATTTGAATTTTTTCATCTTTTGACAGGGCGCTTCAATTTTTGTTTTGTTTTTCAAATTCTCATTTTTGAAAAAATCGATACTTTGACCAAAAAATGTTTTGCATAGAAAGGAGCTGTTGACAAAGTGCCCATCGTTTCTCTTGGATAAAAGCTATAACTTAGTTGAATATAACATTTCGCAAAGCAATATCCAGATGACATAGTAACTAGCTCCAATAGATTGGTACCTTCGAAAAAGAACTTGTAGTGGTGGTTAGCAAAAATCTGTTGATTCATCATACAGTCTGATTTTAAGATCTTTTAAAAGTTTTTTCATTATTATTGAACAAAAATAGACATAATATTTCTACTCCTATAGTCAAAGAGAGCATGAAATTCTGATCATCATCTTCAGTTTTTGGTTTGTTTGAGATACTTTCACACAGGCTAAAATGAGCAAACATTGATACCGGAAACTTCAGTCTACATATTCCGTTCAAAAATAATTTTTTTTTAGCCTTTCAAAGATTACCATATTACTAAATACTAAGACGAAATTTCTATGCTTATATTCAGAAAGAGTATAAAATTTTAGTCCTAACCCATAACTTCTGCATTCATCGGATATACTTTCAAATGATCGTAGAAGATAAACAGACATTTTATCTTAAAACTCTCGATCCACCCATTATTCTTGATGAAAAAAAAAGAAACAAAACAAAAGAATTCAATATGTAGGCAACAGTTTATCATAAATCGTTGGATCTACAGTTCGACTTGATTGAATAGTCTTCCTTCCATTTTCAAAATAAAATTTAATTCATAAAACTAAACTTCCTTCTAAGAATATCTTCTACTTCAATATATAGAAAATGAGACAGGTCAATAAAGTCTCTTACAATCGATAGACAACTATTGTTTTTTGATTATTTGTATAAAACAAAGGCAGAATCAATGTAATTTAAATATATTACAACAAAAATTTTCATTAATTTTACATTTGTGATCAATCAAATATCAACAAATATACATTGAAATTATGAAAACTAATATATAAATTTCAATTAAATTTGCTTGAAATTACAAATGATCCATAAATATTCATATATCTTGATTATTACATTGTGTGAATATCTTTCTCAATTTTTAAAGCTTTGATTCGAATGGTTTTTTTTTCAAAAGATAGTCCTTAAAAATCTCTACAAAATTCAAATAAAAAATGTCTTCTCAAAAGTATAATCGGAAAACCATATCCGACCAGTGGTACTATACTTAAAAAAAGTCTACTTTCATTCAAATAACTGTTTGGATTTTTAGGAATTTATCAAAATTTTGATTTAACGAAAGTCAAATATACAACTAAAAAAGATTCAGATTTATAACCAAATTGAAGGAAACTATACTTCTATGGTTTAGACTGGAGCGAACTATTGTAAAGGCTCTTTACTACGGTACGGTACTCGAATAAATAGAATCATTAATGGTTTCAACTATTTTTCAAGAATATCGACCACTAAAATCTCGTGAGCTTATCTGAAAATATAGAATAATTTCTTTAGAATGATCTCAAACGTATTTAATCATAGGAAAACCAATACTTAATTTTGTAAAAGAAATAGGACTTTATTTTTAATTTTATAAAGAATCTCAGGAGCAATCTTTTAAGAAAACACTCAAGTCAAACCTTTAATAATTGAGAGAGAGAGAGAAAGAGAGAGATTCAAAAAAATATTTCGAAAGTCATTGTTTATGCATGACACATTATATTAATAAAATGAATATGATTAATCCAATTGCAATCATTATTTGCCATATTTTGATTAATTGAAAACTAAATAATTGAGTCAACATTTCAATAGAATTTATTATTTTGTTTGTCTGTTGATCATCATGATCATCTGTATCATTGTCATGTCCATAGATTTCTTCAATGATAGCAAATTTTTCATCAAGTATATCAGTTTTTTTTCTTTGAATATCGAATATTTTCAAAGATTTTTGTTCACATGTAATTATATTTTGTTTTAATAAACATATTTGCTGTTCCATACAATCAAATTTATTATGTTTATCTTTTCGTTTAAATATACTTTGACATTTTTTACATTCTAATTCAATATAAGGACAATTTAATAAGTGTTCTTTATCAAAAATTGATTTAAACATATCTTGTTTACAACCTGAACATTGAATTATTTTATATTGACAAAATTCTTCTTCATGTTTTTCTAATTGTTCATAAAGAAGAATTTCTTGACAACCATAGAGTTTATTTCGACATTCAATTGTTAATTTTGATAAAATTGACGTTAATAATGGTGAACATTTTCGTTCTTTATAAGGCGAACAATTAAATGGACATCGAGTTAAAGATAATGATTTTATCAAATAATCATTTTCATTATCATTATCAATATATTCAATTATTTGTTCTTGTTGTTCAAATAACCATTTTTCAATACATTGATAACAAAAAGAATTTTCACATAAATTACATGCTACAGGTTTCCATAAAATATTACAACAAATTGGACAATGAACTAAATCAATATGTTGTGCATTTAAATTAGTAACACGTTCTAAGATAATTGAATTTGATGAAAATTCTGTGAGAAAATTAGAAGCCATTTTATTTAAGAAATATTATTCAAAATGAATGTTCAATATTCGTCGTATTATATATAAAGTAATAGGTTGGAAAATTCAGTAGCATATATGAAAACTATAAACAGAACGCAAGAAAGAATATAGTTATGTTGATTTATGAGTCACTAGATTAGAAATATGATATTTAGTATATTTCCAAGTGACAGAAATTTTTTCATTTATTGATATAAACTGATTGATGTCATTTTCTTCTTCCTTCAGTTTTAATTAATGTGAAATTGCTCTATCAGCTGTGAATGACTCACTGCATTCAATAGAAAAAATGATCTACCATTAAAAAATGCATGATCGTAATAAATAGAACTGAAATTAATTAAATATCTCATTATGTGTTCTTAATATTGACGTATAATAGATATCCACGTCATTCTCTATAGCAAAGAGTAGAATGGCATTTTCCTTCTATGTGTTATTTGACACAAAAAAGTTATTTATTGACTCGATGACTCAACTTTGTTACTATTTGAAATCATAGTTAAATATGTGTCATAGAAGTATAGGAAAAAAAAACTCAACAAAGAATGAGCTATTACAAAGGGAAAAAAATATCCTAGATTTCCTGTCAAAAAAGTAACGTGTCAGCTTTAGGAGTCTCGCTTACTTAAATCCTGAAAGTAAAAAAAGTTAGTATAGAATATTGAATTCTATATTGCAACATGAGACTGAAATAAAATTCAAAGAAACTTTTCGTATGAATGGACAACAAAATTACATATGAAGTATTTCATAGATAACTTCAGTAGTCATCTAAGAGAATAATAAGAAAAAGTTTTAAAAAAAACCTCCATGAATGATACTATATTAATGTACGCAGAGCAAGTTTCCAAAATTAGTCACTTTAAAATACTGAGGTTTATGCCTCATAAGTAAAATACAAAAGTTCACCCCAATAGGCACCAACTCCATTACAAAAATCAACGTGCCATGTTCGAAAATTCGAAATTATGTAACTGTTGACTTTTACACTAACGACTTCTAAAAATTTGCTCCATGCGCATCAATGGAATAGCATTTATACAATTTGTTTTTTTTTGGCGTATGGATGTAGGTTTGAGTATGAGCTGATGAAGTTAATCTCTTCTCTCACATTCATCATCCACAATCTTTTCCGACACCTACACCACTGCACACTGATATTCTGGATTTAATATATGATAAAACTTCATAGATCCAAGCGTAGGTAGTAAAACTCTTCGATTGTCATGGTTACAAGAGTAA